CTATACTGAACCAAATTCTCAATCATGAATGAAGCCAAAATTTGCAGGGGTGAATCTTCCATTCACTATTTCTCAGGAAGGTGCTGGAGCATATGTTCCACTAAAAGAAAAGTAAACCAAGAAAAAGGAAGACATTGGATGCATGGAACAAGAGGTTTAGAGAGAGAGAGAAATAAAGGAAATTTTCAGCATGATGTCAAAGGATAGAGGCAAGAGGATGATTCTGTAGCTTCCTTAGAAGACAGCTAGTCTAGATTGAAATGGACAATGAAAAACGTGAAGGTGTGGTGTCTCTAGCAGGGGAAAAAGTAACAAATAGATCATTGACAAAAACTGTGTAAAACTTGTATTGAAACATTTCAATATTTGGGAGTATGAAATGAGCTATAAAATATTTCAATATTTGGGAGTAAGAAATGAGCTATAAAAAGACATGGATGAATCTTAAATGCATATTGCTAAGTTGAAGAAGCCAGTCTGGAAAAAATCTACATCCTATGTGATCCCAATTATAGGATATTCTGGGAAAGACAGAAACTGTAGAGATGGTTAACAGATTAGTGGTTGTCAGGGGCTCAGGATGAGGGGAGTAGAGTAGGTGAAACACATAGGATATTTTTTAGGGTGGTGAAAATATTCTATATGATACTGTGCATACAAGACACAAAACCCATAGAATTTTGTCAAAAGCCCATGGAATTTTACAGCACAAAGTATAAACTTTAATGCATACAAGTTTTAAATATCATTGAGGAGGTTTGGGGAACCCAGCATGAAATGCAGAGTGTGACAGGAGAATCTGCTTATGTTGCAAATATATGAAGCACCCTCTGAAGGGGATAGGGGAATAAAGGTCTGATCTAAGTAACTTTGGAAATGAGTGGTGTCTATAAAACTAAAGGCAAAAGGAACAGTACATAAGCACTGCACACTAGTTGATAAAAAACAAGTTGCTTTCCAGGTTAACAATTTGGAAATCACTATATGCATATACTGTAACAATTAAGCAAATAGATGCTTGATGGAGGGAGCTAGATTTTCATTGTTGAAATGAGAGCTTACAGAAAACCCAAGAGCACAGTATAGAAACGGGGCCAGGGTTGGGGGAAGAGTAGCTTTATAGTGGAGAGAGAGCTAGTAAACACTCCCGCAGGCCAAATGATCAAGATTAACTCCCACAGTGATAAGTTATATCACAAGGTCGTACTACATAGGACAGGGAACTATAGCCAATAACTTGTAATAGCCTATAATATTGATAACATGTACTCGTGGTATGGTGTGATGAGAATGGTTTTCCTCCCCAAAATAAATTACTCCAGTCTAAACATGAGAAAAGCATAAAACAAATCCTAATTGAGGATTATTCCACAAAATACCTGACTAGTAATCCTCAAAACTGTCAAAAGTCATAAAAACAAAGAGAGTTTGGGAAACCATCAGAACCAATAGGAATCTAAGGAGACAGGATCCTGGAACAGAAAAAGGATGTTAGGAAAAACTGAGGAAATCTGAATAAAAAATTGACTTTAATAATAACACATCATATGGACTCATTAATTGTGACAAATATACTCACTAACATAAGATGTTAGTAATAAGGAAACTGGGTATGGAATATATGGGCTTTCTCTGTTCTATTTTTTTTTAATAAGTGTTTTTTTTAGTTGAATTTATTCAATCTTTGCTTTTGTTTTCTTTGGAGGGGGGTAATTAGGTTTTATTTATTTGTTTGTTTGTTTGTTTATTTAAATGGAGGACCTGGGGTTTGAACACAGGACCTTGTGCATGTTCAGCATGCAATCTACCACAGAGCTATACCTTCCCCTCTTCTATTTTCAATAGTTTTGTAAATCTAAAACTTCTCTGAAATAGAAAAGTTTATTTTAAAACTGAGTCAATTATGAATTCCAGAAAAACCAAATAGGCTTACAAGAAATGAAGAAAAATCTTAGTATACTATTGGATCAGCCTTGAATGATATTTACCTAGTCATGGTAACTAAAATGTGAAGTATGGATCCAAGGAAAAATTGTGATATAACTGTATTTGGAAGTTGGATGGGGGATGTAAATTAAACACTCATATCATAATGTCATTATATACCATTTGCAATTGATGAGTCAAAAGAGAACACTATACCATAGAAATATGGAGGTAATTACTAGAAAAGCTAAAAAAAATGGAAAGTGCTCAGTGCTGGAATTGATGAGGAACTATTATTTTTTGTATAAGCCTTAGATCATTATTTTACTTTTTAAACTATGTTTAAGAATATAGTTTACATTGCAAAGCATGGAGTACTTTGATAAAAAAAATTTTAAATGTATCTAATAATATTAAATATTTAAAACTAAAATCATAAATTAGACATTAAATTCTCTAATATGTTGGGTTTTCTAAAACATTTCAAACATCTACCTCATTTACACTTTAACGGGATGGCAAAATCTCTAATTTAAGAGAAGCCAACCAACTAGATTTATTGAGTTGAAGACTCAGGACCATAATATAGTTGAATTTTTAGAAGAAACTTTTGAAACCATGAATATAATTTTACATTTTCAGTATTTGACATTTCCTTTCACATTTTTAATGAAACATTTAAATCGTATATATTTTGAAACAAATTACGTTTTGGTTATTAGCCCTTTAAATCAGGGGGTGGCAAAACTTTTCTGTAAAGAGCCAGGTAGTATTTTAGGTGAGGCGGGGCCTGTGACCTCTGTTGCAATACTCAACTCTGCTGTTGTAGTGTAAAAGCTGCCATAGATAGTAAGTAAATGGATGGGTGTGACTGTGTGGCAATAAATCTTTACTTACAAAAACTTTGCATGGCAGGCTGAATTTGTACAGCGGGCCATAGTATGTGACCCTTGCTCTAGATAATTACTATCAATAGAATGTACATTGTGTGAAAAATCTAGGTTATAACAATATAATTAGTGATTTCGCTGAAATAAAAGCAAGAAAAATGTTTTGTGGAACAAAGATATAATCATTTATTCATTAAATATGTGTTTATTTTATAGTTTATCTAAAATTGCTGCACATCAGTAGAACACCCAGAGAGGCAGATAATTATTTTTTGTGACCTTGGATTAGGCAATGGTTTCTTAGATATGACACCAAAAGCACAAGTGGCAAGAAAAAAAATAGAAAAATTAGACTCTGTCAAAAGTAAAAAACATCTTGTGCTTCCAAGTACAATATCAAGAAGGTGAAAAAACACACAGAATGGGAGAAAATATTTGCAAATCATTTCTCTGATAAAGGAACTTATACCTAGAATGTATAAAGAACTCTTACCACTCAATAATAAAATGACAAATAATCTAATTAAAAAACAGACAAAGAATCTGAATACACATTTCTCCAAAGAAGATATATAAATAGCCAATAAGCACCTTAAAAGATGTTCAACATTATTAGCATCAGGGAAATGCAAATTGAAACCACAACGAGATGCCACTTCACACCTTATAGGGTGGCTAATCAAAAAGTCAGATAATAACAAGCACTAACAAGGATGTGGAGAAATTAACCCCCTCATCTAATGCTAGGAGGAATGTAAAATGGTGCAGCCACTTTGGAAAATGGTCTGGCAGTTCACCACATGGTTAAACTTAGGTTACCGTATGACCAACGCTTCCAGTCCTAGGTATATACTCTAGGACAGAGGAAAACATATGTCCAGACAAAAACTTGTACATGAATGTTTATAGCAGTGTTATTTATAATACCCAAAAGGTAGAGGAACCCAAATGTCCATCAGCTGATAAAAACAAAATGTACACCCATACAGTGGAGTATTATCTGGCAGTAAAAAGAAACAAATACTAAAACATACGCCAACATGGAAAAACCTTGAAAACATGCTAAGTGAAAAAAGCCAGTCACAAAAAACAACATAATATATAATTCCATTTATATTAATCTCCAGAATAGACAAAAGAGACAAAGTAGACTGCTGGTTGCCTAGGGTGAGGGTTGGGAGAAAATGGTGGTGGCAGGGGTGTGCCTGCCAGTGGGTGGGGCGTCTCTTTTGAGAGTGTTGAAAATGTTGTGATTAGATCATAGTGATGGTTGCACGACTCAGAATATACAAAAACCACTGAATTGTACATTTTAATGGGTAAATTGTATGATATATGAATTATATCTCATTACAATTGATATTTTTAAAAAATGCCATCTAGCACAGTGCCTGGCCCATGACAGACACTGAAATAAAAGTTCTTTTTCCCCTTCCTCTTCCCAAACTTCCCTACTCAGGACACTGAAAGACTTTCCAGATTTTTTTCACCTCTGACAGGATTTTTCCTTACTACTATCTCAGCAATCAAGATGTTCTCTTTCCTCACAAATAGCACACCCTTTAGATCTTCCCCCCTTTCCGTTTGCTGACTGCTGTCAACCTCAAAGTAACTTCCTCGGATAGAACAGCCTGAGATAACGTGCATTTGATTGCTGAGGGGGCCAGTGACTGGCTTTACTGCTCAGATTTCTGGGGCTCTCCTCCTCTGTGGTCACTTCACAGCTCTAGCTGGAGGCTTCTGTGACTCACGCCTGCCTCACCTGTCCCTCTCTTCTTTCTCTGGTCCACCCAGATCAATTCTCCCTTCAGCTCCCTAAATCAATGACAAAATGCTCTTTCTGTCTGGATGGCAGGTCTACCCTTTAGTAAAAATGTAAAACAAAAACAAAATTAGAAAAAAAAACAAACCAACAAAACCCAGTGAATGTTAATTTCTTCCCAACCCCCTAAAACTTGTCTGAGAACTAGTCCTCTAAATCTCCAATTTACCAAGATCTCCTTGAATTAGTCCTGCTGGTGGCTTGATGTTACTTTTGGGGCTTTCTTTGCTTACCTGTGAAAGGAGAAGGGTTCAAGGGTGAATAGAGCCAGATGCTCTGAGGCTACTCCAGTCCTTACTTTTTTACTTTCACCTACTAGTAAGCCTTCTCTATTGGCCACTCCTAATAACGGATCATACTGCTGCCTGCATGTTACTTCTGATTGTTATAGCATTGGTGCTGGAGTGGGTGGTTTGGAGCTCACGTGGAAAGCAAGGAAAGGAGAGCAAGGATTAGAACCTGGATCTCCACGTTCTCTCTCTGTGTCCTCTCTGGAGCACAAAGCCAGGTGACCTTGAATCCTTGGTATGATGATTAATCTTATTGTAATATGAACCACAAAGACCAAGCACAGTGCTAAGAGCTTCATGTGCATCATCTTACTTAGTTCTACTGATAACTGTATTTTTACTTCCTATTTTATAGACAATAAACTGAGGCACCTAGAGCCCAAAATCAACCAGCTAGTGTAACAGCTGCCTAGGATCGGTACCCAAAGAAGCCCTGTCCTTGATGCAGATGTTGCATTTCTGAGGATTAATGTCTATTCTGATGATCCTACATCCATCTGAATGGTGTTCTTGAATCAGGGAGGAAGGAGGATTGGCACTGTGACCCTTGATACCCTGAGTAGGACCAAAACAGTCACCTCGTAACAGATAAGCAGGTAATCCTAACATCTCTTGGCGAGGTTCTTGGAATGTGGGAGTAGTCTCCAGCCTCTCCTGAGTGATGGAATTTCAGTCTGGTTTGGGTTTTGAAAATATCATTGCAACTAACCCTTTGTTCTCACTTGCCTTTGGAATCCTGTTCCTGTGGCCCCAAATGAACCCAGAGCCCTTTGTGTCCAGTTAAAGCCTGGATAGCAGAAACTTTAAAATACTGGAACCATTTGAAAGGGCCTCAAGTCAAGCTGTTGCCGTAAAAACACAAATACTGAGACCCAGAAAATACTAAGGAAAAAAAAAAGATAAAGTTTCCTTTGCTGGTAGAGATACTCATAAAAGCAAATCAAGCTCATCACTGCTCTGGAGAGAGAAATGTGTATCGAGGGTAACAAAAGAGATGCAGTGATTGTCATTGGATTTAGGTCACCTGGGCCTGGGATTACCTGAGAGGCAGAGGTTTGCTTAAGCAGGGTTAATGGAGAATCACTAACTTTGAACTAAAAACAAATAAACAAGTCAAAATCATTCAGTCTAATAATTTAAGACAGAAAAAGGAGACCCAGAAAGTGAGGTGGCCTCCTGAAGTTCCCCCATCTGATGAGAGGCAGTGGCCGAGCCAGAGGTGGTGACCAGGCCCCAGCTCCGGCCCACTACCAATATCTCTGCCCACCTGGCTGTGGCCCCAGAGAAGCACATAAACTGGTGAGAAGGGAGGTGCAGAGCATCTTTGGGGGTAAATGGAGTAGTGTAGCTGCAGGAGAAGGTTTAGGGGAAAAGTATAGCTCAGTGGTAGAGTGCATGCTTAGCATGCACGAGGTCCCAGGTTCAATCCCCAGTACCTCCACTCAATAAAGAAATAAATAAACCTAATTACCTCTCCCCCTAAAAAATAAATTAAAAAATTTTTTTAAACAGAAGTTTTGTGTGGAAGAAAGTGCCACCAAAGGTTGAAAGGTGTGTGATTTGAAACCCTCCTAGGACTTGGGCTATAGCCTGAAAGCAACGGGGAATCTGGGAGCATGCTTGAGGAAGGGGCGAGGTAAAAATGGGACTAAGGGGTATTAGTCTGGGGGTGTTGTGCAGGCTGCATTCGAGGACGGATATTTGAAGGCAGGTAGGCCAGCGAGGACACTAGTGGGGAAGGCAGGTGCTGGAAATCCTGGGGTTTTATATTTTATTTCTTAATGCTGCATGTATGAGAGTGTGTGTGTGTGTGTGTGTGTGTGTGTGTGTGTGTGTGTGTGTGTGTGTGTGTGTGTGTTGTGTATGTGAATGGAGGAGAGAGAGGTGTTAGCCTCTACTCAGCCAGAACTCAGACTTTTTGGGATTTGACTAGTGAACAGGTTGGGCTGCCATCCAGAAGCACGAGCTCTAAACTCCAGTAATCTGCAGACAGTCCACTCCCATCCTCCCATGCCCACCTGCGTGCCACAGCTGAAGTGAGTCTGTTCCCCGCCTCTCTGCCCAGGCACAAAGAGCCTATTGATGATGCACTGTGAACAAAGGAGCAAGTGGCACCAACTGCTCCACACACCCACCCAGCCCAGAGTGGAATTCCTCCCATCCCCGCAAACGGACAGATCGCGTGCTCAGGGATCCTCCTGCACCAGAGCTCAGCTCGTAACTCCCCACCCCTCCTGCCCGAGGAGAGCCAGCAGACACTCAGGGTGTCCTCAGAAAAGGCCGGTGGTGTTCCACCAGCTGCAGACCGTGAGCAGGGCCTGACCCTGGGACCTTGGGTAGGGTTCCCCCAGCTCCACCCTGTGTCAGAGTCTCCCCTCAAATCCTCAGATCCGTTAGTGAGAATGCAGCCTGGTCTCTCATTGGCTTCTCTCTCCCCAGTAGCCAGGCTGAGGAGTGGAGTCCATTTTTGAATGGCACCACTGTTTCTAGCTTTCTTAAGAAAGCAACTGAATGAATCAATTTATTTTTTGAATGACCACTACATTAAACAAGCACAACTCATGGGGAGTAGTTATAAAGAAACTTGTTTCCTCTCTTGTTAACCCTTTAGATTCAGTAGGGCTGGTGCTTCTGTTGCACCTGGATAAAAATTCAGGCAGGCCCCCTGGCTTCTTTGATCTTTCTTAGTCTGTATTCACCTTAAGACTGAATATAAGCGCAACTCAGTGATTAAAATGTTCATAGAATCATTAAAATTCCAAACAGGATGGAAAATTAGGACTTTTCCTCTCTTCGGCAGCTCAGGCTGAATTCTTACAGTCGATAACACTTCTGTGCCTCCTCTCCTATCTATTTAACTGTGGTTTTTGATGCTGACAGTGTCGCAGTGGGAAGAAGCAGGAACATTCCCACTTGATAGGTGCTGGCATGGGAATCTGGCATCGGTATTCTCTGGACTTGGTAGGTGTTTAAAGCTGACTTTTAGGGGAGGGTATATAGCTCAGTGGTAGAGTGCATGCTTACATGCACAAGGTCCTGGGTTCAATCCTCAGTAGTTCCATTAAAAATAAATAAATAAGGGGGGAGGGTAGAGTGCATGCTTAGCATGTACTTGGCATCACTCAGTCCTGGGGTCAATCCCCAGTACCTCCTCTAAAAATGAATAAACTTAATTACCTTCCCCCTCCCCCCAGCAAAATAAAATAATTAAATAATACAATAGTAAATAAATAGATTAATATTTTTTAAAATAAAAATAAACCTAATTACCTCCACACCCTCCTCCAAACAAACAAAAAGGCTGACTTTTAAAGGGTGCTTTCTATCCCTCCTGCTTTAATCAATTCAGGCTTCTATAGCAAAGTGCTGTAGACTGGATGGTTTACAGAGAACAAAAATTTATTTCTCACAGTTCTGGAGGCTGGAAGTCTGAGCTCTGGGGGCCAGCATGAGTGGGTTCCAGTGAGCGATCTCTTCCGGGTTCCAGAATGCTGATCGGTCTCATTGTATCCTCACATGGCAGGACAAGAGTGAGGTAGCCCATGGCCGCTTCTTCTAAGGACACTAGATCCCATGCATGAGAGCTCCACCCTCATGACCTAATGACCCCCCAGAGGCCCCGCCTCCTAACATCATTACCTTTGGGGTTAGGATTTCAACATATGGATTTTGGGGAGACACGAACACCCATATGGGGGACAGCCCATAACACCTCCATTACTGGGGACCTCTCATACGCAGTTCCCACAGTCTGGGTGATGTACTTTCCTCGGGTTCATCGCTTCCTCCTTCCTCCATCCCTAGGAATGTGGCCATACCTCCAGCTTTTCTTGGCTGAGAAATCTTTGCCCCTTTAGGCTGTCCTCTTGGATAGGATCTTTGACTATCTTAGGCAACCCCCACCCTCTCTCTGTCACTCACAGCTCTCACCTTTGCCCCAACAACTCTGTGAGTATAATTACTGCCCAAGTGTCACCCTCTACTGTGCCTTGCCTCTTGCCCTCTTGGTTTCTCTGACTTGACACCTCTGAGAGGGGTGGGGTAGAACTCCTAACACAGCTTTCTCCGAAGAAATTCTCATCTCAAATCTTACCCTCAACCCTTAAATAATCTTTGCCACTTACTTTGTAAATCCTGGTCCAGCACTTCACTTTGGAATTTGGTATTGATTGTGATTCAGCTGAAACTGCTATTTTAATACCTGCTTTCATTTGACTCAGGACACACCTTGAACCAAAATGCTTCTATTATCTGAATCCGGAGCACTGATATGACATTTACTTCAATTTTTCAAGCAGAAGATAACTTCTAATTAAAAAGAAAGAGAAGCAGTGTTTCAAGCCAGCTTTGTAAGGCCACGGTGCGTCCTCGTATGGTACCCTGGAGGGGAGCCGCTGCCCCTCCTTGCTTTCTAGGTGTGAGGTGGTGGAGTAGTGGCGAGGGCAGACTTCTTCAAGAGCATACTGAGACATGGCTGGGGACTCCCTGCAGGAAGAGGCAAGAGCCAAAGGAATTCAGAAACTTGGGCTGTTTGTGACCATGAGTGAGTTACTTCTCTGAGCCTTGGTTTCCACATCTCTAGAATGGGAATCATAGTCCCTAAGCTCCTCACAACTGAGCCCTATGAAGTGCTTTCTAGATTGGGAAGTGGGTCAGGAGTGTTAGGAATAGGGACTCACAGGTAGACACTGTTTAGTCTCCCATCTTGGACTATGTGGACCACCTTGGATGCCAGGGCCAGTGTCATACTGTTTTTCTTCTATCTCAGTGTGAGTACAGTTCATTGGATAGAATGACAGCGCTGTTGGTCTGTGTCTTTTGGGAATTTGTGGTGTGGATTCGCTCTGCAGAGCTGTGTGTTTATTTCACACATACTCTTCATCAGGCCAAATCTAAAGAAAGTGGGTGAAGGACCAGTCCTACTCCAACTTCATCACGACCCAGAAAACCCAAGCCAGAGCCCTTTAATGATTTATGTGATTACTTAGTTTCATCTTCCAAGGTATTTTTTCTAAGATTCTCCGATTCTCTTTGCTTCTACTTTTGCTGTAACACAAATTCTCATTTCTGAAAGAGTTTTCTTGCTTTCCCCCTTATTCTTTCAATCATGTTATTTTCATCTTCACTCGCCTCTGGGTTTTTCGTGTGCCCTGTGAACGGTATTCACTTGCTCAGACACGGGTGTGGAGGAAGCGTAGGCCAGGAAACCCCAGAAACCTCCAGCTAATGCACGGGAGCCTTTAGCTTTGTGATTACTACAATTGTTGCCTAGTGGAACAGTGAGCCATTAGCTGGGTTCTCACCCCTCTATTAGTATTACCCTGTAATTTAATCACAATTAAACTCCCAGAAACATAGACATAGGAAACAAGTAGGCAAAGGACGCAGATGGCAGAAAACAACAGCAGTTCAGGGGTTTTAATTCAAGGCAGTGTTTTCAGGAGGTGCAGGGCCAAGGAAGAGTGAGGTTGGAACTTGGAATAGGCTAATTGAGCAAATGATTAAAAAGACTTTAAAAAGGAATTTTACTTTCTGGCATTGAGGTTGGGGTCTGCTGACATTAATCTCATGGGCTGGGCTGAGCTGGATTTGTGTAATAACAATAGGGATTGACAGAGGTCTTGGGAGATGACCCCATGTCCCCTTTACCTTCTCCCCTTAGGGTCCTTGGGAGGAAGGTCTCAGAGGAGGTTCTTCTTTGTCTTACCCGGCTTCCTTCCTTGGGTCCCAAAGCAAACCCCAGACTATATGTTGGAATCAACCTCCTTTCCGGGAGGCTCCCAGAGGCCCAGGCCTGGAGGTGACCATTCCCAGTGTCCTCCTGGGAAGTGTGGATGCAGGCAGTGTTTACAAGTAGGGCTGGAAGTGGAGGATTGTGAGGTAGAGGTGTCCTTGGAGGAGCGTCCCTAGACCCTTCCAAGGGACGGTTGGCCTTATTCAAGCTTCAGAAACCTAAGCTGCAGTATAGAAGGGAGGAATCCCAGCCTTTGAGCACCCAAATGACAAGGAAACTAGTATCTCAGTCTCTTCCATGGGACTGATCCAAGAGGAAAAGAGCCAAGTGGGAGAGTTTTCAGCCCAGCACGGTCCTTCTTCATTCTTCAACAGCCACCTTTGGCCAAAGTCAAGTCATTAAGGGCAGAGCTGGTGGAGGGAGCCGCGGGGATGTGGCAGGGAGAGGGGGGAGGCTGGGGCAGAGCAGGGTGAACAAGAAATCGCAAGCCTAAGCAGCTGTAAGCAAAGTTACAACGTACTTCAGAAGACTTCCACTTCCCTTAACTGACTCTACTTCTTCTCTTCCCAGGCAGGATCCAGTCTTCCTATAAATCCACCCATGTATTTAATTACTGAGCACCCTCAAAAAAAAGTTTCTGGTATTCCAGAAGGTTCTGGAAGCCCAAAGCTCCTTTCCCCAAATCAGAAGACAAGACCTGGGTGCATGGGAAAAAGGACGTCTCCCTTCTTCTGACTCTCTTGGCATCAAATTCTTTACTTCTCATGGTACCCTTGTGATCCCAAGTTGGGGCCTTTCCAGGACAGTTCCAGTCTGAAATATTTTATCCCGTTGTCCTCATCAGTACTTGTGAGGCCACATGCTCTGAATTTGTCATGGAAAAAAGCTGTAAGGAAAACCCTAGCTCAGAGCATTTCCTGTCCAGCTGAATCTACATAAATTTTGCCCTTTCCTGGCACCTAGGCATAGTGACATTTGGAAGATTTGCTAGAATACCAGCTAAGGAAAAGTTAGCTTGCAGGTTGGTGTAGAGCTAAAGGATAGGTGAAATCCTGTATCTTGAAGCTTGATTCTGAAACCCCCCGAAACTTATGCAAAAACCCACCCTCATTGATGAACAGGGATTCAAACTTGCTTTCACCTTTAAGCCTCAGATGTAGTTGTGTGGTTTCAGCTTTTCGGAATTCTCTTTCCCATGAATTCCCTGATAAAAGTTCATTTAAGAGGAAACAGAACCTTTTCCTCTATAGTGAGAAAGGAGAGTTAACTAGCCTCTCTCACCTGGGGCACTGTTTTTCACGCCAAAGTTCTCAACCCATTGTTGGGTCACAAAATCAATTTAGTGGGTCCTGACTTTTGGCAAAACTTCAAAATGATAGCTAGATGGAAAGATACAGATTTAGATATAAATCTAGAATAGAAAAGAAAAGGCAACAGAAGAGAACATATCAGAATACATGACACTTGATTTGGATGAGTATTGTTTCATGAAACTTCTGTTTCTTGTTTTCTCTACCTCTGCATATGTGTTTTGGGTCATGATGTAAAAATGTCTTGTTTCCTTGGGTCACAGGAAAAAATGTTCAATACCACCCTGGTAGGACAGGTCACGCAGTTCACACAGAGACTGAAATTACTAAGGCAGACCCGCCCCTGAGAGCTGGTTCCACCAGAAGGAGAAAAGAGTAGCAGGGGGCTGAGCACCTATGGGGGAGGAGCCTGAGCAAGGGCGTGAGGACCAGCAGTGCAGAAAGGAGAGAGGAGGGCTCACTCTCAGCCCCTCCACAGTGGCAGCCACAAAGCACTGAGTGCCAGCAGTGACTTAAAGGAGTTACCCCTTTCAAGTCTTGCCACACTCCAGAAGGAAGATGAGTACTCCTGTTACTGTCCCATTTTACAGATGAGGAAACTGAGGCTCAACGGGTTAAATAACTTGCCTGAGGTCACACAGCTTGTAGTTGCAAACAAAACTTGGTCTAACTCAGGTGTGCCTGATTTTTCAGCTCATGCTCATACAACCACAGTAAGCAATTCCTCTGGCCTAAGAACAGGATTTGGTGTTGGCCCAGAATCAAGGATCCACGTAGACCAGCCACGAGCCTTGCCTCTGGGTGCAGGGTAGGCAGGGCCAGGAAGCAGAGGAGCCCAGGTAATGGAGGGCAGGGCCAGAGGCTGGTGGCTGCGAGGGTGGCAGGCCTCCCCAAGCCCTGCTCCTGCCGGCTGCAGGCTGCAGCTTTGCCATCGCAGAATACGCTGCTAATTATAACCAAACAATGAGCAATCACAGCCTGCTGGCGGTTTAGCTCTCGTTAGAGGCCTGGCAGGCTTTTCATTAGAACTTCCCAGCCGCCTGAAGGCGGCGGCAGGAGCTTTGGGCTCTAGCTCCCCACCCCCTTCCTGCTCCCTCCTCTGCTCCCTCCTAGGAGCCTGGTCTGTCCAATTCAGCCCGTGCTTACTCAGCTCCTGAGGTGTGCAGGCTGTGTTCAGTGCTGCAGGCGGGTATTGGAGGCAGCACTTTGTTCCTGCCTTCAGGGAGCTCACCCTCCTCCCAGCAGTCTCTTGACTAGAATAAAAAAAAAAAGCCAGGCCCATTGGCAGAGAGGAGAGAGGTTTTGGACAGCTTTGTGTCCTAGGTGGCTTCTCTCTATGGCCCTTCCTAGGGCGCTATGAAAATTAATTTCTGCCCTTTGGTAACGTGGGACACCAGAGGACTGGCTCTGTGTAAACGATCTCTAGTGGTGCTCAGTCCCACAGGATGTCCTAGGGAGAGGAACTCTTTCAAAATCTTGGGAAACGTAAACCTGGGCCGATAAGTGAGATGCACGAAGTCATTATAGGCCTGGGGACCCAGAGGAAGTTCTCAAATGCCTATTTTAAGGGCTTTGGGAAGGGCTTGAGGGAATAACCTCAGAGGGTAGAGCCCCTGCCTCTGGTTCTGAAGAAGTGAACACAGTTTACTGCTCCCAGGCCAGACTTCAAAGTGCTTCAGTTTTATCTTTTGCCTCTTCAGCCCGCATCACCCTTCCTGACATCTAACCTCCTTCAGGTATAACTGGGGACCACTCCTCCTGCTTCCATATTAGGGCTTCCTTAGCTGCTATCAACCCATCACATTAAGGCCTTAGTTGAAAATTAATCAAAATAGTATCCCTCTAGGAACCTTTGTAAATGCGAGAGGCAGGAGGATAGAGCTCAGTGGTAGGGTGCACACTTAGCGTGCACGAGGTCCTGGGTTCAATCCCCAGTACCTCTATTAAAAAATAAATAAATAAACTTGGTTGCCCACCCCCAAAATACATAAATAAAATAAACTGTACAAAAAATAAAAAATAAATGTTATGAAAAAGCTAAATGAATGTGAGGGAACTTGGGTCCTGTTCACTGAGGAATCCTTAACGCCTCCCTAGCAGACCACCTGCCCAGAGCAGTAGAACAGGGTACCTAGTTGCGAGATAAATGAAGAGCTGGGAGGGACATGAGAGAGTACCTGGTCTTCATTTTCCAGGTGAAGATCAGTGGCCCCGAGGTAGGGTGACCAACCATCTCAGTTTGCCCAGGAATGAGGGACTCCTATGACATGGGACTTTCAGTTTTAAAACCAGACTTTTAGTTTTAAAAACCTCTAAGGAGTTGTGATGAGTAAACCTATAGGAGCAGAGCAGGAAGGAAAGAGGATTTGGTGGAGTTTTGTTCACTGGGAAGATGCGCACTTTCAGCCTCATCCCCCAATTTCTGGAGAGAGGAAGGCTGAAGACTGTTCAAGATAAAAACTCCTGTGCAGAAAGATTCGAAGAGCTTCTGGGTTGGTGAATACATCCACACGTGGGACGGGTGGTGCATCCAACTCCACGGGACAGAGGCTCCTGCATCAGGACCCTTCTGGACCTACCCTGTGTACCTCTTCATTCAGCTGTTCATTTGTACTCTTTACCCTGAAGCAATAAATGTAAGTGAAGTGTTGTCTTGAGTTCTGGGAATCATTCGAGCATCCTGACGCTCAGCATCATTCCTGTTCCCTTCAATGTCTATTAAATGATCTCTCCAACACTCTGCCTTTCTGTTAATTAACCCTCTCCCACCTCAGTCACCTGCTCCCATCATCTTATCCCTGATCTCGTCACTGGTACCATCTGTGCCAAGTCCAAAATTCTCCATTTCAAGCTGCTCTCTCTGGCCACTAACTCAGATCTGTTCAATTTGCTTCCCACTCCTACTTTCCTTCACCCCCTTGTGGACTCTCTTCCATTCAGTGATGCCATAGTTCATCCATTCATCCTTCTAGACCATCCGTTTTCTCCCTTCTCAGCTTAGAGTTCATGGCCGATCACAAGAAACACACTTACATATACCCTTATCCTTTGTAATGACATTAAAATACGTCTGCAAGTTCTTTGACACTTGTATTAGTCTTCTTGGACTGTCATAACAAAATATCACAGAGTGAGTGGCTTAAATAACAGAAATTAATTTATTTGAGTTTTGGGGAAGTCTAAGACAAAGTTCTGGCCAGTTCAGTTTCTGGTAACGGCTCTCTTCTGGGCTTACAGCTGCAGGGAGCTCTCTGTGTCTCTTCTTATAAAGACACTAATCCTATCAGATCACAGTCCCATCTTTGTGACTTCACTTAACCTTAATAACTTCCTTAGAGGCTCCATCTCCAAATATATCCAGGCTCGAGTGTTAGAGCTTCAACATATAAATTTGGGGGGTTCATACACGTTCAGTTCATAACAGCAAAAGGTGGAGTCTAATTCCTCTCCTCTTGAACATGGGCTGGACTTGGTGGCTTTGTTCTAACAAACAGAATGTGGCAAAGCAATGCAATGTGACCTGAGTCTAGGTCATAAACGGATGGCTTCTGCTTAGTTCCTCTTCTTGGATTGCCCGCTCTGTGAGAAGCCATGTCCTGTTGTGAGGACCCTCGAAGAGCCTGCACAGGGGCTCACATGGACAGAAACTGAGTCTGTTTGCCAGCAACCACCTCTGGCCTGCCAGTCATGTAAGTGAGTCATCTTAGAAACAGATCCTCCATCCCCAATCAAGCTTTCAGACGACTGTAGCCCCCTGCTAACATCTTGACTCCAACCTCATGACAGACCCCACACCAGAACTGTCTAGCCAAACTGCTTCCAAATTCCAGGTTCTATCTCACAGAAACTGAGGTAATAACCGTCTATTGTTTTAAACCACTAAGTGTTAGAACAAATTTTTTTTTTTAACAGCCATAGGTAACTAATACAACTGTCTTCTTCCCTCCCAACCTATGGGTCTAGCAATACCCCAACACTGGTCAAATCAAACTTTCACCTAGTCCATGCCTGTACTCCAGCTGCTGAATGTGGCTGGAGAAAAACACATGACTGTGCTGAAAGGTCTCCCTTTAAAATCATGGTCTTGAACCTCAGGAGGACCATACCGTTGCCCAGAAATCCTACAGTCTCTCCCCAGGCAGGTCACTCTCCAATTCCTTGTGATAACTGTCACACTCCTCCTTTCCCAAGCCGTCATGCAACAGTCTCTGCTTCCCACTTTCAGCCAATGATATTTTTTTCCCATTAAAAAAAAAACAGAAGAAATCAGAAAAAAATCTTTATCATTCCACCACCAAATCTACCTACCTCCAGTACCCAGGCGCTTTTACTCTACCTCCAGCCTCTTATGATGAATAGACCATCCACGCATCTATCTGAGGCCAGGCCCTCCCCTTGTGCACCAGATCCCTTCCTTTCCTGCTTATTACAAGGCATCACTCCAGCAATTATCTGCTCTCTCATACGCGTTGTCAAATTTTCTCTCTCGAGTGGACCATTCTCATTAGCATACTAATGGGATAAAACTCTCATCTTGAAAAAAGATGCCTTGACCCTACTTTCTCCTCTAGTTACTTCACCATTTGTCTGTTAACCATTCATAGCCAAGTTTAAAAAAAACTTGTCTGTACCGTTTCTATTCTTCACCTCCTATTCCCAGGCTTGTGTCCCAGTAAAACAAATTCAACGGTCAATTCTCTGTTCTTTTTAAAAAAATAATTTTAGTTTTTTGTGGGGGACGTAATAAGGTTTATTTATTTATTTATTAAGCATGGTACTGGGATTTGAACCCAGGACCTCACTCGTGCTAAGCATGCATTCTACCACTGAGCTCTCCCCTCCCTGCCAGACTCCCTCTGTATATTGCTAATCCAAGCCACTCCCCTGAGCCCAGAAGGAATAAAGGCAAAGTTGTGCCTTCAGCTTCCTCCCTTTTTGGCATGTTTCGCCCCACCTCTCTGTGATTTCACTTTCTTCTCCTGATATTCATACCCAAGAGTAACTGATAAGATTAAAACTTTAACTAGTGTTCAGCAGGGCCTTGCACAGAATGGAAATATTAATCATATATACTTAAATGGCCCCTCTCAGGGCCATGTTTACATTTGGCCTAAAGGCAAAGTTACGCCTCTTTACTGATGAAATTTCAGACATGAGCAGATATGGTTTCATTCTAATCAAGCCTGGGATGGAAATGGGGTGTGTGTGTGTGTGTGTGTAGTTTTTGGAGGGAGAGGCTTTTTCAGAATAGCTCAGATCAAGTTAATCTCTGACTCAGTCTTTCTGTGGCATGTACTTGGCGTTTCTCCATCTTTTTGGTGTCGTTGTGTTCAGGATAACGTAAATGGGCCGGGTAATACAGCAAAGCCCCACCCGGGATTTGAGTGGTTCCTGTCTGATTGCCGTAGTGCCATAGTTAGATCACAGTAGTGACAAACTGTGCATGCATTTTCCACTGCGCTTTTCAGAGAGACACTGTTCTTTAGCCACTGACTAAATCCTTGACTTGGGCAAAAATGGTAGATATTCCAGACCAAAGATGCAAGCTAGACCTTGACATTTGGCTGAATCATCGTCGAAAGTTTCACGCGTCAGAGCCTCCATAAATAAGAGTGTAATCCCTCCTCCCTCCCCTCTTCACTTTACAAGGATGAGAAGAGACTCAGTGAGATAGCAACGGTCTGGAAGTTGGAGGCGCAGAGTCAGTCCGTGTCCTGTCACTCCAGGCCGTGAGGTGAGTTGGATGAAGGAACTGTTTGCGGGGTTCAGAGAAATGACAAGGGTGAGGAAGCCAAGGGATGTGGTAAGGAGTCCCAGGGGCTGGCAGCAACAGGAACTCACTACCACCTCTGGGCTAAAGGGACAAGTGGGGAGTCATGACCAGAGCCCAGGGACAGCTGCAGCAGGGAGAGGGCCTGGGATGGGATCCTGGACCCACCATCAGCCCAGCAGCGGGCACCCTGATCTGCCTCTCCTCCTCATCCCTTGTCAGTGCCATCCATTGGCCAGACCTAACCAGGAACCAGAGGGCAAGGGAGCCTCTTGGTATAGACCACACAGGTCAGACTCCTGGATCTCAGAGTGGGTTTGAGAAGGCTGGAGGAACTGGTGGAGAATATCCTGCGGACTTGTTCCAAGTAACAAATATGGGAGTGAAAGCTATATGAAAGTAATGCTCTCAAGGTGGGTGGTCCATGACCCCCAGTCCCCACCAGCCAAAACAACTAAAGCTAATGTTCTATTTCAAGATGAGGTTTGTGATGGTTAATTTTATGTGTCAACTTGACTGGGATAAGGGAGGCCCAGAGAGCCGGTAAAACATGATTTTGGGGTGTGTCTGTGAGGATGTTGATGGAAGAGATTTAGCACTTGAATCAGTAGGCAGAGTCAAGAAGATCCACCCTCACCAGTGTGGGTGGGCGTCATCTAATCCAAGGAAGGCCCTAATAGAGCCTAATAGTGGAGGAAGGGCGAATTCCCCCCTCTCTTCTTGAGCTGGGACGTCCATTTTCTCCCGCCCTCAGACATAGGAACTCCTGGTTCTCTGGCCTTTGGGCTCCAGGAATTATACCAGTGGCTCCCCGGCTTCTCTAGCTTTTGGAACTTGGACTGAATTATACCATCAGGTAGCTTTCCTGGCTCCTTAGTTTGTAGGTCATGGGACTTCTTGGCCTCCATAAACACGTAAGCCAATTCCTATAATAAATATCGTATAAATATATATGTAAATCCTATTGGTTCTGTTTCTCTGGAATGCATAGTATTAGAATACTATATATACATGAGACTGGAAGTCTGTTTCCCCAATGATGCTTATGTGACAGGGGTAAGATTTGTTGAAGTGCGTATTTTAAGGAGAGTTCTAGATCTTCTGGGATGTAGAACTGGGAGCATGAATGGGAAGAGAGACTGGAGGGAAAGAGACAGGACCTGCCACAAGAGGTTCAATCACCCTCTATAATAAAGATCTCAGAAAGAGGGGGCACATTTGGCTGCTGGAGAGAACATGGGAGCTTGGGAAAATTAGAGAAGATAAAAGGGGGCTTTAGAAAAACTTTACAAAATATTTCTATCTCTTCAAAATAAATAAATAAATAATTGAAAATTTTAAAAAATGACTTTCAGTTGCTGAACCATGTTTCTTTGTATGATCCCAGGCAGGGCCAGGGCCACAGGGGACTGGTACTTATTGGAGTGACACCATAAGACCTTCTAGATGGTTCTGGCAATTGAGGACTAGCCAAAAACCACTCCACATACCACACTCTCGATCCCCTGAGAAGTTGCCCACAAGGCTGGAATCTTCTGAAGCCTCAGCTTCATTCTACGCTGTCGTTCCGCACAGTAGAATAGAGGGAATGACCATTTTCACTCTTTTGGTTCAGAGGCCAGAGAGGATGAGCGAGTTGTTCATGATCACCCAAAGGCTGTCTAAGGAGAAGTGAGGCAAACCCCAGGTCCCTGACTCCCTGTGTGGCCGGTGTTCCACTCAGATGACTGACAGATTCTGTGCCTTTCCTTTCCCAAAAGCGAAAATCCATCTCCCCTTTCCTTCTTGAGAAGGGTTAGGCTTTTTCCTGGGGCCCGTGTGGGACAAGACCAGATCCTGAGCTTTTGCAAAATCATTTCTTTTGAGTCTTTAATTCCTTT